AGCGGATTAAAATGTGCACAGTAAAGACATTAAATGATTAAATCTTTGCACTACCAACTAATGCACCACGAGTGCCCCTGTCGGTCATTTTGGCCAGCCAATCACTTGCCCTGCGGTGCCCTCCGGTGCCCCGCGGTGGCTTGTGAGTAGATTACTGTACTGCGGGTTTTTACCGCGCATTTTGAATGGCTGCATCTGTACATAGAGTAACTTGTGTGTTTTATGAGTTGTGTGTAGTGTAGTTTGTGTCTTGTCAGTGTAATAAATAAAGTGTGCCTGGAATATTACTTTTCTCACCAAAGCTGTGCAAGAGAATAAAGAATTATACCAACTGCTCGGGTATATTCTGGAGAAATCTCTTACAAGTTGGGGGTTATGAATAATTATTTTACTTATTGACAAAACTGCTTAGTCAAATCCTGATTTTCTCCATTTTCGTAACCCCCCCATTAGTAACAATATTCTTTTGTTCTTTTCTACATTGCCGTTTTAACATGGACTGTTATTTGTCATTCTCTCTGTTCCAGAAAAAGACATCTGCTGCAAACAGATGCACTTGGACTTTTACTAATGAGCATCACAGCATTGAGCAACACTGATTTGCCTCCCAGGAATACCATCTTGAAATAAGCCGTGAAAAGTCTTTTCTGACAGATTGAAACTGAACATAAAAATGTATATACTTACATTTTACCAAATTAAAATGAGCAGTATTTTAAAATTAATCTATCAGTTACGAGCAAAAACAAAGGTCTACACAGAGGTCCGTTGTATGTAAAAAAACTCTAGGCTATACTTAGAAAATGATTTTGAGCCAATGATATTTGATACACACAAGATAAATGAGGACACAAACTAATGAGCACTATTTTTAACAATATAGCTCAACTGCACAACAAATCCCAGTGGAAGGTTTGAAGTTCAATTTCAAATGTTTTGAAGTTAGCAGTCAGATCCACAACTGAAAATTAGAAAAAACAAATACTGACCAAAGTCTGTTTTCATATCTATGTTTTTTTGATCATCAAAATATTCATCATGAATAAATGAATGTAAAGGATCTACCACAACCATAAACTATGGAAATCAGTATGATAGAAGTGCTTCTTATTCCAATGAGTACCTCAGTTGAAAGACTAATTAAGAAAAGTAAGGGGAGGTGGAGAGGAAAATACAGGAAATGTTATGTTGTTGTTTTTCACTTACGTCCTCTGGAGAAGGAGGCAGTAATCCACCATGACAGGTACCATGTCCTACAGAACAAACAGCAACATTAACAGTGTAAGGCTACACCCAGGAAGGACATTATTCAGAAAACTTTGAATCTTGTAATGAAACTTACTCAAGTAAAGTATGAGCATTTCTTTTTAAGGGTTTTTTGAAAGCTTTACAAAAATAGAACCACTTCTACAAGCTTAACAATGATGTGATTCCCGCAAAGCTTGATGTTACTATTATTACATTATTACATTATTATGTTACTAATTAATTTATTTTCTTAAGTCAAACAACTCTGGTCATCCACAGTACTGTCTATTTATGTTTTTACCACTCTGCATTTATCTAGTACACAGTAATTTACTGGCTTTTTCTGAAAGTGATATATATTTCGTTAATTTATAAATTATAGCTATATTCTACTTAATATCCAAAAGATTTGGAATCCCCAGTTCTCACTTCACAATCTTGAAGCTTATTGCCTTAGCTCCTTAAATGTAGGAATACAAGTAGGAGTAATAAAAATAATAATAATAACATCTTTATTTTATATAGCACCTTTAAAGGTTGCTTTTCAAAGTGCTTTACAGAATGACACAACAACAATTAAAAAAATTCACAAGTTATGCACGATGAGAAAACACAGTTAGAGGAGACAGTTGATGGTGGTACTAAATACAGTAGGAGCTCAGGGGTGAAGAACAGAGCCAGTTAAGTAAAGACTCTCTAAAGAAGGTTTTGAGTCTGGATTTGAAGGAGTTTAGAGAAGGTGACTCTTTGATATCCTTGGGATAGAGTTCCAGAGCTTTGGGACATAACAGGAGAAGGCCCTGTCACCCACAGATTGGAAATGGGCTTGGGGGACAGACAGGCGACCAGAATTAGAAGAGTGAAGGTTGAGAGGTGAGGAGTAGGGCGATAGTTTTATTTTTCTTTTGTGAAATGATATCCAAACATCTGGGAGATTTCCACTGGTGGATTATTCAAGCAACTCATGTGGGGACATTAACACCGACATGGCTTTTAAGACATGGGAACTCGAAAGTGACAAGCATGACAATTAACCATTTTGCCAGCCTCTCTGATTCAGTGACAAGTCCACTTCTACATCTTCTCTGAAAGAGAATCTGTCTGACAGCAATCTACCTCTGCGCAAGGGTATGTGCTCTTGCTTTTGAAGCACCTCCCCATAGCTTAACCCCGATGGACAGCTGAAAACTCTGCCTGCCAAGTTCAGACAGGAGAGTTGGTACTTGAGCCTTTATATCATTGTGGGCCTGGGTTTTCTGTTATGTGTCAACATTTTTTACACCTAAATTACTTGGACAGGTTACAAGGTTAAAAATGTATTTTTTATCAGAATAGGTTTCTTATTGTGTAAAGATTGTTACACAATCTTTTGAAGGATTTGAATTTTTATAAAATGCACACCGAGTTCTATTTATTAAAGAACCTCAGAAAACAGGCTGATATTTTGTTCTTTTTGATTTAATTAAAAAATAGCATACTCTCTAGTCTATCATTTTTTAATGGTTTAATTACTGTTTGAACTAGACTGATTAAAAGTAGTGCTAACGTTAAACACAGTTTCTCCTGTTTATGCTGTGAACAAAACTATATAGAGAAAAGACTAGAATTTGCTTGAGCAGATAATGTTATGACATATGCGCAAGTCACTCTCCATTTAATCTGCTAAAGACTTAAATATCTAAAAATTCAAGTCATAAGCTAAAATCCACTGGCTTGTCACTGATTCAATTATATGGTATTCACCAAGCCACTGTCTCCATCTCTGTAACCTCAAAATAACTTATGGCATTTGATTAAATATTTCCTGGTACAAAAAAAATATAAATTAGAGAAATCTGCATCACTAACTAAAGGAGTACATTAGTATATCAGATTATTGACACTTTGACCTGAAGAATTTTGTTCACCTGCATGACAAAGATAAATGTGGATACCTGAAAATGCTGCTCCATTACTTGAATCTTCCCCTGCTCTGGGCACTTCTTCAGGGAACGATCTGCATACAGAAGAAGGATCTCGACCATCTAGAGGAAATTAAGACATTAAAATTAAAACTGTCAGTCTTCCTCTAATAGTCCTAATTGAAATGCATTTGACACAACACGTTTTTTTTTCAATTAAACTAACCTTGTCGGCTACCACCCCTTTCTTCTTGCTTGGATCCCCATATAATCCTGAAAATAAAGCGAGAAAGTGAACAAATTAAGTTTTCCAGCTCTTATGAGTGTAATGCTTATGTATACATTAATTAATCTAGTGAATGCCTACTTTTTAAGCCAAGCAAAACCCTCCTGTTGAATGGTGACTTCAATACTAACAGACCTCTCTGGATTTGTGTGAGCTGTGGTACGACTCCTCAACAATGTTCTGTGCTGGCACAGCTAGCACATTATCACACTGTAGAAGGGGGAAGAGAAACTGGGTGTGGGCTTTTATTTCACTCTCCATCACTCTTCCCAACCCCCACCCCCCCGGAAAGACAAAGATCATAAAAATTGATTCAAAGGGGAGCAGTGTGTTAATACAAACTCTGCTAACAGAGCCGCTTGTAAGAGCAAGGTGACTTTCTGCTCAATTAAATCAAAAGCTCCACACACGCAAATCCAATGAAGTCAGATCCACAGATATACTGACACAGTAGCATACATGTCAATGAACCGCAGTGTGACTGTATACTATAAAAATATACCGTATATACAACCATATGGTTTTAAAGCCACTACAGTAAGTGTGAAATTTTTTTACAGATTGTGGAAACACTCTGCTGGTACAGATGGGATATTTTGCAGTTTATTACTGAACAGCCACCTTTACTACTCCACGTTCTCTCCCGCTCACAAAGATGAAGTCGTACAGCTGCTGAGGTGGTGTCATAGCAATAACCTGGACTTGAACGTGCGTTAAACAAAAGAACAGTAGACCTTTGGAGACACAGGCCGCACACCCACAGCCCACTCAGTATTGATGGAATAGAAGTGGAAAGAGTCACAAGCTTTAGGTTGGTGGGGGATGCCACTATCTGTGTTTGTGAATTTCTATCCCTGCACGATCAGGAGCATTCTCACCAACAGGATCACGGGATCTCAAGAGAGAAAGGCACTGCAGAGAATGGTGAATGTGGCCCAGAAGATCATCAGCTGTGGTCTCACAGAGACTAAACAGCTCTATGAGGACCTCTACCATGGTAGAATTCTGGCCATCACAGAAGACAGACACCACCCCGGGCATGAGCTCTTCACCAAACTGCCCTCAGGCAAGAGATACAAGAGCAAATGGATACTTACCACCAGATTCTTCAATAGCTTTGACCCACAAGCAGTGCGATTGGCAAACACATTTGGCCATGCCCCTCGGACCACACCCACACCATCCACCTCATTGTAATTGTATTTATTGCAGTCATTGTTTACATTCAAACTGTTTACTTGTACATTGTCTACTATTTGTGTATTGTCTTGTTGGACTGTCTGCACTTTGTGTTTTTACACTTTTTTTTTAACAATCGAGAGACTTTCTGTAAGTAAGAATTCCATTGTACCAGTACATGTACCGGCTACATAAAGTTCAAGTTCAACTGAATATTTTTAAAAACATGCAGTAACACACAGCGTGCGCACCACAACGTACTGCATTATCCTCTGTGTATTCTGAATGGCTGGATCAGTATAAATAGGGAGCAGCTTTGCTCCCTGTGATCTGTGCAACTGCCTGCCACCCCATTCAAAGGGGGTAGTCATGTGCTCTCTACTTCTCTTAATGTTACAGAAACCATGAGCCACTGTTTGCTAAAGAAAATATTTTTTAGGTAAAAATAATTAATTATTCAATGACAACCGAATATACTATAATGTGGTTTAAAAATCAGAAGACAACAAACATTTTTCCCCACCCACTAATAATCAATTGCTTCCTAACATCTTGGTTAAAATCAATGACTATGGGGAGGTGGGAGAATGAGAACAAGAAGACACACTCCACTGGCGAGTTGAGTCACAAATCTTTTCACATGATAGAACCTCCAAATTGATTTACAGCAATACACACTACACTTATAGCACTGGCTAATGCCAGAGACATTTGAATAAGCAACAACTATGCAAGCCTGAAAGTGATGAGCAAGTCACAATAATTGCTGTTGCATCAGGAGAGCCCTGGCTGCCTAAAAGCAACATTACTTAGAAGCACTCTCCAAATTATACAGTTCTACTTGAGGAATCCTGGTCACAAACAGCTAGTGACACGACACATTTGGACAAAGGATCTAAGCCTCCACTTAAAGCAATCACCATTACAGATTGAACCACTCAGGAGATCACATTTCAGATTTTATTTCTGATTTGCAAAAAGGCAGTATTTTTAAGCAAAAATACTGATCTATTCAGTTAAAAATTTAGAGATTATTTAAATTTAAGGTTAAAGAACAGAACAAAATGGTAATGTTGCTTTGGGCTGGACAGCTTGAACAGTTTGTTAGCAAGTCATCATTAATACATTCCTGTGAGAAAGAATGATTGAAATATGACGATAAAATTCTTTTTTGTGATACATGATATATTGTATATGTATATGTGATATATATGAATACATTTTCATAATAACTGTTGCCAACCAGCTTTCCAACTTTGAACAAAAGGTAAAAAATGATTACCTTTCACTAGACAGGACAATGCACAAGAATGACCTCTTCTTCTGCTTTCTTTAATAACTTCAATAATAGGGGGATGTCACATTGTGATAGTACCTGCTCTGGTTTTGCCTTTGGTAAATATCCAGTTTCATATTATTCCTTTTTATTTGATCACCTTTAGTAAACATAAATTGCCCCACCAGTCCATCTTATCCAGCACTCTGTAAGCATTTTTTTGTGAGAATCACCTTGGTGTGATAATTACAGAAGGCACTGACAGCTTGTCACATGTGACTTCCTTAGCTCATCACATCTCCAGTTTCCTGAATCAATTAATGACTCAATCACTCAGACAGAGCTCTTCAGAGGCTCACCGTACTTGTCACAGGTGTGAAAAAATGTTCTAAGCAAGGCATATTAGGAACCTGTTTTCATATATCTACGAGGAAGTTAACTAAAGATCACAAAGTAGGAGGAAAAGACAGGACAGGTTTGGTGATAAGGAAGCTTCAGCAAAAATCTCAGAGAGCCTCACAATCCTTCTATTGACAAAGTGTGAAATTTCCTACACAGCAAAGACAGACACCCGGTCTGGGAACCAATGTGGCAGATCAGTTAGCACACATGAGACCTCTCCCTTGGAGGTTTAATCACTTACTATTGTTAAGATTTCACAAGCTCTTTTTAACATAATTTATATATTAATCTGTAACCATTCATGAGAGCACTCATGAATGCAGTGGTTTTCATCATTTGTGCTGTTTGAAGGAGGGCAACTTCACAGAGCTGACACTAGCTACTACAGAAAACCAAACTAGATGCAGTGCAATCACTTAGTTGCTGACCAGCTTACAGAAGCTTTTCAAACTATTGCA